CAAATGTAGCTAACACCTGGTTTCAAAACTACCTATGCAATAGGACTCAATATGTATGTATAAATGGTATTTTTTCTAAAGAAGAAACAGTTGTATGTGGTGTTCCCCAGGGAAGTGTTCTTGGAACCCTACTATTTCTCATATTCAAAAACGATTTGCCATTAGCAACGTCTTTTTTTACTAAACTATTTGCTGACGACACTAGTTTTTAAAAATCACTCCACATAACAAAACTTTAGTAATTGATGCCAACTTTGAAGTAAAACAGGCAGCTGCATGGCGTAAGGCAAACCATTTAACATTAAATGTCTCCAAAACAAAGTTTATGATATTTAGGAATAAAAGTATGCATTTTGATCCTAAGAACTGCAAATTAAAAATTGGTAATGAGATTCTAGAAAGAATAGTGTTGTAAATGAAAGAATACAAAATAGGGAGATATATTTTCTCCAGTCTAAAGGACTTATCTGAGTTCATTCAATGTGAGTATTAATCAATATAAGGCATAAATAATTTATTGAACAGTAATTCATAAGAATGAGGTTGATACTGATACTAATGTTGAGGAGAAATGATGTTTAAGATCGAGTTTTTGACTCACAATCTCATCCTTTCTTGTATACACACATAAAATGAAGGTTCGTCATCAACTGTTGGTAGATCAGGTGTATGTTGACCTGCTCCCCTCATCCTGGAAATCCTAAGTCAAAAATAGAATTTCATGTGAATGAACTGGGCCCCTTTACTTTAGCATCAGGTTAAAATTAGATTTCTCAACAGAATCTGTACAAATATAGAGTCAAGATAAAGGTTCTGAGTTCGCAAAATCAACATTTTGCTCAGCTGCTACAATAAAAACTGACTGTTCAAATAAATACTTGAAATTTGTTGGACTCAAAATTGATGAATTGGGACTATCAAGTAGAATATGTTTTAAAAGTTTAATTCTTTAGCTGAACCAAATAGAACAAAATCATATTAACTAGAGCAGGTTCTTTTTAAAACGTTAGAATGTTTTCCTTCTGCTTTATTTCCAAAATTATGGAATTGATTGAATTAGAGCTTAAAGAAACTAAGTCTGCAAAACTGTTTAAAAGAAAAACCTTCAAAAACTATTTAGATAGATATGCAAGTTATATCTGTAAAAAAAAATAACTGTTTTTCATGTGGATAAACTTAGTCTTTGCTATCTTCTTCACCCTGTAATTCATAAACATGATTCAAATAATATATGTTTCCCTCTGTCAGTTGCCTGATTGACTTCAGATAGAAAGGACCTATCCTATATGGTTCCCAGCCCTACAACCGGGAGAGCGCTGTGTTTAGTTGCCCATCTAGTATACTACAGGGGAAGCAAGAAATAAACATAGATTGAAACTTTCCTTTCTGGTTCTGTGTTATCTGTGTTCTCTGGAGATTTAAGAAGTAATTTAGCCCCTGATAGGTATACATGCACAATAATACTGGTTTTTTACTCAACCCTTCTTCCTACAAATCTCCTAATTTTTCCACAACTCGGATTTTAAAAGGACTATTTGGAAAGATCTTAAAGTGCAAAAACAAGCTAAACAAGAAAAAAGAAGAAAATAAAGAACAGTAAAAAAATAAAATCAAACAGGAAAAGGAAAAAATGGAAGGGAATCACTAGTGTCAAGCTGTACACTGTCATATTTTCCGACAGTGAATATAGACAACATTGGGGAAGAGAAGGAGACATCCACCCCCCCTTCTAAAATTATTCTACCCTATGTAGAAACCTTCAAACAGTGTATTTAATTGCTGCTGAGACTGCACCACACATTAGAGAAGTTGAGTCAAGATGTTCCTAGATCAGAAAAAAATATTAAAACTGCAAACACATCTGATATCTACTCCTGACATATGATATCCTTCTATTATACTTATATTGATATTTCTGGCGCCAAGATATCAAATTAAAGAATAGTATGAATCAGAAATATGTGTCAAAATGCATTTTTCCCTTGTCTACAAGGGATTAGAATGTGTAGATCTAAAAGAAAAGAACAGAAAACAGATGTGTGACCAGAAAAAAAATATTCAATCCAGAGTTCAGAAAAAATCTTATGCAAGAGTAGACAGAGTTCAGAAAAAAAGAATACTAGATACTCAGCAATTTCAAATTCATGGCTCAGAAAAAAATTAAGATCATTTAAAAATAGTTCTTACTTGTAACACTGCAAACTGCAAGGACATCCAACTAAATTCTTTCTTTTTATTTTCAAAATTAGCCAAAGTACGATTGAAGGATGGACTAACAAGATAAAAATGAAGAACAAGAAATATAGAAATCTCAAAGTATTTCCATCTGATATCATGTAAATATTTAAAAATATTGTAAAATAAAAAAAAAATAATTATTAAAGTTAAAAAATGTTTCCCTCTGTTACAACCCTTCCACTGAGTACCCACCCTTTCCCTTATACTTTTTCACCCCCTCCTTACCTTATTCCGAATTTATCAACAGTGTTTTGTTTAAAATGTACACTGTACAGTGTACAGTTTACATCCATCTATTTATTTACAATTCTTATTTGCTTATAATGGGCCAACCAATCAAAACAACCACCTCTGGTTAGGCTGGTCCAAACTACAAAGTAATTTGTGATTTTTTATTTGTATTATCTTGTGCTTTGTAGTTGATTAAAAATATGAAATATGAAATATGAATTATGAAATATGAAATATGAAATATGAAATATGAAATATGAATTATGAATTATGAAATATGAAATATGAATTATGAATTATGAAATATGAATTATGAAGTATGAAATATGAAAAATATTTTGCATGAAGAACTCAGGGGCGAGGAGCTGTAGAACAAGACAATAACATTGCGTAACACTCTAGCTTCAATATAGAAAAGATTAGAGTACCTAAGCATGAAAATGCAGTTTTAGTGGGGAGATATTTCTCAGAATGAAAACCCCTGCAACAAGAACAGGAGTTACAGAAGGGCAGCTGAGGGTTTGCAAATAATCAGAGGTGCAAATGTGCACCCTGCTCCAGAGAGAGATCAGGATGTCCTCAGGGCCGATATTTGGCAGCCATGATCTGGAGACCAATTTTCCTTCCAACCAGTCTGATATTTGACAATAATCATAGTTGAGCATATGACAGGAATATAATTGATTATTTGTCAAAAATTAAAACCTATGATCAATAATTAGAGCTCGGGAATATGTAGTGTTTGTTTATAGAATCTAAAAACAGCCCAGGATGCCAACTGAAAGTTCCTTTAGCCTGAAACCTGAACATGATGCTAGGGATAGGGCTGGGCATGTTCCGATTTTTTTAAAATCGTTCCGTTCCATTCTAGAACAAGGGCCTTCAGCTAAATCGTTCCGTTCTCGTTCCACTTTTTATTATCTTTCCGTTCTGGTTCCGTTCCATCCGTTCCGTTCTGAGTAGAAGAACAGTCTTCCTGTTCCATTTCGTTCTTGGCGTTCTTAGTTGAAGAACGGTTGCATCCCTCTTGTTCTGTTCTTATTCAAGAATGTTTCCACCCCTCTTTCGTTCTTAGTAATGAACAATTCCATCCAAGAAAAAAAGTTTTATAGAAAAGAGTTGGTTAAAAAGTAAAAAAATTACCATTTTTAATAAAAAGTTCCTCACAGCCGTAATAATACTTTAAATTATATATTTAAAATTTAGAGTTAAAAGAATAAGCTTAGATAATTTCTGAGCTGAGCAATGTACAATTTTGTGAGGAGGGGGGAAGGGGAGGGAGTTCTAATATCCTTAATATGTACGATATATACAGAAGTTAAACTGAAACCTGGGGATGGGGGGGATGGCGGGTTTAAAGGGGGGGGGAGGGGGGGGGGTCAGGTGATTAAATAAAAAAATCTTTAACTATTTCTAGAGGATTTAGAACACATTCTAGACTTAAAATGCACTCCCAACTTAGAACAAGTTCTTAATAATAAGAACCCGTTACGATTTTAACTGTTCTTTTCAAGCAATTCCCGTTCCGTTCCTTTACTAATCATTCCAATATTTTAAAGAACGAGTTCTAAGCATTGTTTTTTTTTCGGAATAATGGGATCGTTCTTGATTGTTCCGTTCGTTCTTGGGAAAGAACAATTGTTCCACAAGGAACGCACCCAGCCATAGCTAGGGATAGCTTCGCATTGGTTGAAGGTACTGAGATAAGAGGTATTTGTTAGTTTTGCACAAGATCTCCAAATTGGCTGTAGAGGCAGATATTCAAAAATGTGTTCTCAATAACCATAATTTTTAGTAATTCATATTATTTTATTATGTTTTACATGTCAATACATAAGTTTGGTATACGATAATTTCAATCAAATTAATAATATGTTTTTAGAAATATTTTTTTTTAATAAATTTATTTGATTTTTATATGGCATACCATGACAGGGTCTTCACCAGTCCGTGTCAAGCTAGGGACATATACAAGGGTTCCCCCCCCCCCCTCCCTATTCCCTAAATAATGTTTTATTTTTAGGGGGGGACCTTGTGTATTGCCCCCGATGTGACACCAATATCTAGACATCCTAATTAAGTAAGGTCTGGGGGAGGGGGGTGGGGAGTCAAAGAGTTTAAAATACTACTGCTGGCATCTGGTGACAAGGACAGATGAGAACCCATTAGAAATATGATATGGATGTCATTGAGGTAGGACTTCACTCTTGCCTTAAGGGTCTTTTTACCATTTTCTCTTTAGCTGTATTGCCCCTTCCTCAGCAGTCTTAACCCCCCCTGACTTGAAGTGAAATCAAGGAGTTGTAACCCCAACTTGGGGTCTGGCTGGGTGTTTATTTCATTTTCCCAACAACACTTAAAACCTTCAAACACATGTAAAAATTCAATAAAACATATAACCTTTTTTCTTGTAAGTTTCATGCAATTTTTAGCAGAAAAATTAACAAACATAAAAATTTCTTTTTTTCATTTTTGTTCATCAATGATTTAAAAATGTGTGGTTTTGCTGTTAATGGAAAATGAATAATTACCGTAGAATTGATAAAGACAACAGTTTCCATCAGCTTGACTTGATCTGGATTTGGAGATAACAAGAAGTAGTTAGACCAGTAACTTCTAGCTTTATAGATACATGCAACAATGATTTATCTTTTGAATCAATAATCATTTAAATATAGACCACAGTTTACTTTTTATTGCCACTGGCTGACTTAATTCACTTATACGGATAAATAGTCTGACCAACTTAAAAGGACTGTCGGCAAAAATTTTAGAGACTCTTCGTGGCAATGCCTGATTCACATTGGTACCATTTAAGCATAAATTATGCATAAAAAAGTAACAATATCTTCCACAGCATGTTTTAAGGGTACCAGTTGTAAATTGACATTGTCATTTTTGCACTAAGGGTAACTTATAATTCATTAACAATCCCTGTAAGATAATAATAATTTATTATTTGTTTGGTATTGATTGTTAACATGATAGATTCAAAAGAAGGATATCAATTTTTGCTAAGCATCTTACCCACTTCTTCCATGATAATGTACTAAATAAATGTATCTATTTATTTCATTTATGAATGGTTTGGCTAAATCTGTGTTTTTTCAGTTTCAAAAATAAATGTTTTTTGGAGTTGTTTGTTCTCCTCTTTTATTTATTTGCATAATATAGGAAACAGTTCACAGGTGCATTGGCATCGTTTTTGTGAAAAAAAAAACCACTTTTTATGGAACAAAGAAATAATTCGAATTTTTTACTGAAAGAATGATGTTACAGTACAAAAAATTTTACTGAAATGGGTTTACCAGGAACAATGAACAAATGAAAGATTATGACTTTTGCGCTACTGGGGTTGGGACAGACTGGGTTACCAGCAGTTAATTTCTGGGTTTGGTTCATTGAGCAAAGGATGTCTGTAAAAATTGTTGGTTTAAAAAAAAAATTTTATCTAACGTTTTTAGCACAAATATGGCTGTAAACATTATATTATTGTTAACCCACTGACATGCAGATGGTTATGAATTTTCTAATGTCCAAATTTGCATTCTAATACTGTTAGAATTCTTTAACTCACCATTCCTCTTTCAACAATTTCAGATGATTTTTCAAGTGGAACACCAGTAGCAGGTGACAGTACTATTGCCCTTGGTCACAAAATTATTCAAAATTGTTTGCATATTGTTTAATAATTAATTTCCTATTTTTCTGAACTTTTGTTAACACATGTAAGTTTATGATTTTGTGTGTTCTTTTTATCTGACTTATTACTGATTCAGTTCAAGAATTTTTTGCATTAACCAGGAATGCTCACACAGTTTGATTAAGGTGCTTTCAGCATTTAATTATCCTGACTGGGACATTTTCAACATTTTGAGGCCTCTCCAAGTAGTTCTTGTGATATTTAGTTGTGGAGCAGAAAAGAAAGAGATAAGGAAGTTTGGAGGAGGAAGAGAGTGAGGAATTTCAGAAGAAGATCCCTTCTTTCCCTTATTTAAAAGTCTATCTAGCTTATGCAGAATTAAGAAAACCCCTAGCTGCACTGTTTATTCAAAATGGGGAGTTGGAAGCCTTAAAGCCCCATCATGAGGTTTTCTTCCACAGTAGTCCAGTCCTGAAAGTTTTCCAAGTAAAAAACCTGTATCATTGTGAATGGCTTGTATCTATCAGGGGTTACTTCTGTGTTCCTTCTTTCAGCTGACCTGTTGAGCCAGAGAAAAGCTTAAGATGGAGTTGTTTTTTTCCTGGTGAAAGAGGGGAAGAGAGAAGAGAATCCAAACTCCTTCATTGTTTCGCTACTTCCCTGTAGATGAGTCATGAGCAATTCTAACTGTAAAGCTGGGAGCTACTATAGGCAGGTTTTCCCTGCCAAGAGCAAAAAACAACTATATTATGGTTTTTATTTAATATTGTTAGTCCTCATGTTAAAAATTCAAAATTAACATTTAATTATTGAGTAAAAGACAAATAAGGAGCTCTTTAAGTTAAAACGTTTGAGAAAATTCATGTGCAGCACTTTAACTTTTCCCAAAAATGATAAATTTGTACCAGAAATAAATATCCATAATTGTTAATTTTGAAAATTCAACAATTAGAACATATTTTTTTTTCAAAATTTTGCCTAAGATTGCTAGAAAAAGCAAAAGTTAGTAACGTTGAAGCTAAAGCCCAAGTTAAAACCAATACACTTCCAGAAAGTACTAAATGAAATTAAAATTAAAAGTTTTTTCCAAAATCTTAAAAATACAATAAATCTTGTTTTACTTCGTTTATTGTGGAACAAAAACCAGTCCGGCATTCCCTCTGCATTCAGTAAGGACAGTGGCAGCAATGCTATCATAACGTGATCTGGCTGAAAGTGCACAAGTTGATCATTAGCTCAATCAGTTTAAATCATTACAAAGATTTAGATGTAGACCATCAATGCATAGACTGCTGATCTATTTTTTTAATTGTTAGAGTCTGCTCTATTTTAGTATGTGTCTTTGCCAGTGCTAGGGAAACGGCTCAACTTGGAAATGCCTCAACATGGAAGAATTGGCTCAAAACTTACATATCATCAAAGATATTTTTTTACTCAATTTTCAAAATTACCTTCTTATTATTTCCTATTAACTATGAACATGGATATATTTTTTTGTATGTTGTCCCTATGTTTATAAGATATGTTGTGAAATTGTTAAATCTGTCTGAGTAAGGAAATCAAAGGAACCAGTTAATTAATGTTTCAGGTTTTCTTGTTGGATACAATAATGTTTAGAAAATCTTTAGTATACACATGGCAGCGGGAAACAATAACAGATTAAGGCTGATTGTTGCTAGCCTCTGGGTAGAACTTTAAGCTCTGAAGTTCAAGAATATTTGAGCAGACCTGGAACTGAACCAGGAAGCATTGTCTGAGTATGAGTATTTTTTTAAAAAGTTTTAGAATGTACATTCAGTCCTGCCTATACCCTCATCTTGCAGGGCTCACTTTACTTTACAATTGGCTTAATGTTTTAGTTTTTAGCATTAAAAATAAAATATGCAACAGTATCTTTTGATTAATTTAGTTGGCTAATCTTTTAGGATACTCCCAATTACCCAACTCTTTTAAGTTGGGTTGACATCTTGCTGCTCTGCTGTTGTCCTTAAATACTGATTGGTTTCAGACTCCTGGACTATCTCTTCATCCACCAGGACCAGATAAAGGGGTCAGCCATGATGCAGCTTTTAACCCCCGGGAAATTGCCCACCCCTAAAGCCAGTTTTTAGTCTTAAATTTTGTAAAAAAATTTCCAAAATTAAAGTTGTAAAATTCACAAAATGAGGAATTAATTCATAAAATTTAAATTTATTGAATAAGCTGTAATTTTTCTTGATCTAAAAAGGTTAAAATTGTGCATCTTTGAAGTTTCTTTCATTACCCACAATTCTTCAAAATTTAGTGAAATAAAAATAAATATATGTAACTTCCACATGCATTACAAGTTTACCTATCAATATTAAAATTTACTTTTAGCACATGTAGAATATGATTTAAAAAGTTAAAATATAATATCTAAAAAGATATTTTGGTTTCAATGGTGCAATTTGAAATTGGTTTTGCATTTTAAATCTCTTAATTGTCCTTTGATGTGCTGGGACAATTTATATTATAAAGATTTATTCACACACAAAGATATAAATACATATATAAATGGTGTAGTTTAAATTTGTTTAAATAAATTTTTTTTGAAAATACAGGTTTCCAAAAGAAAAGAGAAAAAATACGCAAAATTATGCACAAATAGAAAACATTGATTTTTAATCACTACATAAAATATTTATCATGAATGCATAAAATGTCTGAGAACCAAGATAGCAAACTTATAAAGTTCTGTTTATCAATTCCCATACTCCTACTATTATAGCTAGTTAAGCACAAAGTACTAGCTGTATCCATCATTGTACTGTTGTTGCGCCACCAGTAGCACTATTCTTCTCTACACTCTTGGTTCCATTTTTATCAGAATCTGATACACTTGTGGTTCCATTTCTATCAGAATACCGCTTCCTATAATGGATAAATTCACGGACACGTACTCACAAGGGCCACACAGTGGGATCCAAGGCTTTCTCAAGATCTTTAGCTGGAACAGAGATTTTAAAGCTAATAACATTTGATGTTTCATTTGGTTTAGACATCTGCACAATATCGCCAACTGTTATCTTAATATCAGCTTCTTCTAAGTCATCCACAATATCCTGTTTGGTGGTACCTTTAGGAATACCATAACAGAAAATATCAGCCGGAGGGGATTTAATTTTTCTAATTTTCTCTTGAGTTCTTGTACCAGAGACAACTGGCTTCCCTACATTCCTTCTTTTGTTTTGAGAGTTTATTCCATCATTTAATCCTCTCTTTACACTGGGAGATCGTTCTCTACCTATTCCTGCTCTTAGGGGGACTGTAAGATTCTTTGGTCTTGCCCCTGTACCACTATAATCATCATTACCTCTAGTTACCGCACTGTAAGATTTTGCAGCAAAACTTGGTGCAGGATTGGCATTGACCTTATCCCAGATACATTGCAGTAACTCCATCTTCTTCTCTATTGCTGACATTCTCTCATCCATCATTGCATTTGAGGTGTCCTGAGATGCCTTGACACTAAACTCACTATTTGTCAAAAACTTGGGTATTTGGAAATTGAAAGGAACTGTCACCACAACATTTCCATGCCCAGCTTTATCAATTTTCGATATCTTTTCCCACAGATCTAGAAAAATGGTAGATATCTTACGTTTTTCTTGGATATTTCCCTCTGTATCCTGCAGTTGAAAAGCTTGATAAAAATTTGATCTAGAGTTCTTCATCTGTTCCAAGGAGAACTCTCGACTAAGTGTATCCAGAACACAGGTCTTATCAGCAACTCTATCAAAAGCATAAAACATTGATCCTAAAATCCCATCAACTAGAATCATTTTCCCAGACCTTGAATCTTTATAAAGAAAGCCTTGATGACTGACTTGTTCCTTTACAGTGGTCTCACTATCCATTTCGTCCAGGGAAGTATTTAAAGAATTATCCAAGGATTTTTTGGGTTTTGGCCCCATTTTCGCCACAAGATTGGCGAAAGCCAGATTATATCTAGAATCTTCCAGATTTCTATGAATGTACTTTAAAATTGTGTGTAAGCCTTGAATTGACAAAGCAGTGTGAAAACTGCCTAAAACACTCTTACAGAGAGATGTTTACTACTCAACTGCCCTGAATTTAGAGTTCTAAAATGTCTCTAGACCGTGTCAAAACTCTCTTGCTAATTACTAAATTTTCTCTGTAAATGAACAATAATATTCAGCATTAGGGTTTCCAGTCGTAATTATGTAACACTTTATATCACTTACGGAGAAGCACTACGAAAAATTACATGCTTATTACGTATATAATAGAAAGTCTTGTTTCGCGAAATTAGGGCATAATTATGACAAATTACGTATTGCGAAACCATTCTGTATTTAGAGAATTACAATATAAGTTCTCAGAAATGAATACAGCGGTAAAATATGTGTAAGGAAATGTGCGATACAACCATTTCCAATCTGATTGGATAATTTAGATAATTTTAAATTCAATTAAAATTTGTTTATTGTGATGGACCAAACCTCTGTAGAGAAAAAAGGTAGATGTTGGTTCCTAATTTTAATGAAAATATATTTCTGTCTAGGTTGATCCTTGTCAGTTATAACGTTATATCAAACATCAAAATTGATGTTAAAAACCACAAGAAAATAAACAAACATAAAAGATTATTGAAAAAAATTTTAATGGGCTGTCAAATGGACACATGGAAATGAACTCAGATCATAAGATGGAAAAAAGATAATTTGCAAATATTCATTTTTTAAAAATGTTTAAAGACAATTATTATTCCTTGAGATTGTGTCTGTCAAATGAAGATTAAAAACAAACTAGTTTAAATGTCAAGTGTATAAAGTGGTGGTTGGGGGTCGATCTAATTAACAAACTTTTACGTAAATCAGGGGGGAGGCGACTTGTCTGAGGAGGGGTATTTAAATCTTTTAAAGAATTGGAAATAAAAATACTTTTTTTTTCTTAAAAATACTGAATTACAGTTTACAATTTAAAAAAACAAAACAATTTTTTTCTGTTCATTCCTGTGAGATCAGTCATAAAATCTCTAAAGTATTAAGATTCTTGTACTTTAAGTAAACTTCTCCCAAGGTCCTGCAAACCTTCTCTAGTACGCTAATTTTTAGATGGTATAGAGTTCATGTCCAGAAAGGTTAAGATGTTCTCCTGTAGGCTGGTTTATATGAAGGTTTCGCTAATTAGGCGAAATTATTGCAACATTTCCCGAAATTCCTTTCATAGAAATTATGCAAAATTATGGGATAATTTTGCAAAATTAAAGTTTCGCTAATTACACATAATTATTATAAAATTTTGCAAAATAACGTTGTAGAAATTACGCGAAATTACGCCCTAATTTCGCCAAATTGAAGTTTTGCCAACTACACAAAATCCTGCGAAATTACATGAAATGAAAATTATTTCGCATTACTGCATGTAATTTTGTGTAAGTGAATAATCTATTACGTTGGAAACCCTATTCCGCATTAATAGCTTTCTCATTGAACTCTAAAAATGTATAACATTTATGAAAAAAATAAAAACAACTTTTATTGCAAATTATTTTTTTACTTCCGCTCACCTGATTAAATCCAAGGGTTTTCAACAGATTAGACAAGAAAAGAAGAACAATTGTTGCAAAAATTAAGCTAAATTAAATATTAAAATTGCAAAAAATTGTTAGAGTTTTGTTTTGAAATTAAAATAAAGGATTTAACCTGATTAGAATCGCAATCCAGGTGAAAATGTCAAAAACCTTCATTGTTATTATTTAAGAACATATTTTAGGGGATAAATTTAAAATGAAAATTTACCTTTAAAATATTGTATGCACTTGAAATTTTTCCGGGAAACTAAAATAAAAAATGTCATATGAATGTTAAAAATTAAACACTTGGCCCATCCTTGCAGCATTGCTTTCAGCCTGGGGCGCCTCTGATGGCCTTCACTAACCTTAGGGAAGTTTCTGCTCTGGAAAATGGCACATTTTGGAAGGTAAAACCTTTACATTAATATAAATAGGTGTAATAAATATTGTCATAACACTATATCTGTAAACCTGAACTATGTTGGAATGATATATACTTTGGAGAAAAAAAAACTCAGCGGGAGCGGTTGAATGAGCGGTTGAGACTCTACGCAGTTCAGAATAAGAAATGTGCCTTTTTTTCTCAAACTTAAAATTTGTTCAATCAATAAATTTGTTGCTTTTTTCTTTCATATTTATATTCACATTTTAAAACTTTTTTAGTAGTTGAACACAATTTTTTGCTTTCAACCGCTGGGTTAAAGATTTTTCTGCAACTTTTTTCCTTTTAACTACTTGCACTGGGTTGCTTTCAATCACCATGGAAAATAATTTTTCATGAAAGATGTTTTCTTTCCACCACTGGTTTTAAAATTTTTCGGCAACTTTTTGCTTTCAACCTCTAAGTTCAGGATTTTTCAGCAACATTTGCTTTAAACCTCTTCTTCTATAAAATGTCCTATCTATGAAATGTCCTATCTATGAAATATCCTGTCTATGAAATGTCTTCCATGAAAAGTCCTAGCTTTGAATTTCTTATTCTATGAAATATCCTATTTATGAAATATCTTGTAAATAAAATGTCTTCTATAAAATTTCATATCTATGAATTTCTAATTCTATGAAATGTCTATATCTCTGAAAGTCCTGTCTATGAAATGTCCTAGCTATGAATTTCTAATTCTATGAAATGCCTTGTGTATGAAATGCCTTCTATGAAATGTAGGGTTTCCACGAAATGGCTAATTTTTTTGCGCAAAATTAAGTTTGCGCTATTTTCGTGCAATTTTTTATTCGAACTTTTGGGCTATTTTTGCACATGAAACGCAATGGGTTTTGCGCTATTTTTTTTGCGCAATTTGCGCAAAACCGGAAATATTTTTTGCGAAAGTTGCGCATGAAACGAAATTTTAGTTTAGCGCAATTTTTTTTGCGCAAAACCGCAATTTTTTGGCGCAATTTGCGCAAAACTGCAAGTTTTACTCAAAATGTAACTTTTTAGGCAAATTGTCAAAAATTTATATTCTAAGCTTAGAATTAAACAACTGAAGATTTATTCCATACATAAAAAAAAATATTAACATGCGAGTAGGATAACGATTATACTACACTCAATTGGTTACTTCCAGATACAAAAAGTTTAAATTAAGGGACCAAAATTAATAAAATAGAAATTAGAGAGTGTGAAACTTGCCAATATTTTAATCCTATTAAATAATTTCAAGTGACCCTTATTCTTAAATTTTTTTAATCAAATTTCTGAAATCTTTTTAATCTCATATAAAATAATGCAAGAAAGTAACCAATGCTTGAAGAATCCACTTTTAGGAAATATGCATGTCCAAAACTAAAATTGTCGAGAAAATTGTGAGATTTGAACTCTTCTTAAGTGTCATTGGTCAATTATTTAAAAGTGATCAATAGGAAGACATTCCAAAACAAGATTCTTCCAGAATTGAATTATAAGAAACACACACCGTCACCAACCGTTTGATTTTAACGAAATTGCGGAATTGCGCAAAACTCTAGTTGCGGAATTGCGCAAAACTTAAGTTTCGCAAAAGCGGAATAAGGCAATTTTGCGCGAAATGACTTTTGCGAATGATTGCGCAAATTGTTGTTTTTTCGCGCAAAACTGATGCGCAAAGAAAGAAAAATTTTGCGTTTCGTTCTGCAAAATTGTGCAAAAGTTTTGCGAATGGAAACCCTAATGAAATGTCTTGTATATGAAATGCCTTCTATAAAATGTCCTATCTATGAATTTCTTTTTCTATGAAATGTCCTATCTATGAAGTGTCATGTCCATGAAATGTCCTATCTATGAATTTCTTATTCCATGAAATATCCTATTGAAATGTCTTGTATGAAATGCCTTCTATGAAATGTCTAATCCATGAAATATCCTGTGTATGAAATGTCTTCCATGAAATGTCCTATCTATGAATTTCTTTTTCTATGAAATATCCTATCTACGAAATGTCCCATCTATGAATTTATTAATTAATGAAATGTCTTGTCTATGAATTTCTTATTCTACAAAATGTCATGTCTATCAAATGTCCTGTCTATAAAATGGTCTAGCTGTGAAGTGTCTTCTATGAAGTGTTCTATCCATTAGTTTCTTATTCTATGAAATATCGTATAAATGAAATTTTCTGTCATGAATGAAATGTCCTAGCTGTGAATTTCTCATTCTATGAAATATCCTATATATGAAGTGTCCTGTCTATGAAATATCCTGTCTTTGAAATATCCTATAAATGAAGTGTCCTGTCTATGAAATGTCCTGTCTATGAAATGTACTATCCATGAAATGTCTCTCTATGAAATGTCCCAACTTCACACCAAAAAACTAGAGGGCGATATTCTAGGGACCGAGACCTACAGAGAGGTATTAAACACATGTGTAAAGAATCTACATTTTCAGAATTCTATCTATCAAAGAGAGAATTAAACAATATTATTTTTGATCACTTTTCAAGAAACCTTGTACACAGGAAACAAAATTTGCTCACAATAAGTCTCAGGGTGAGGAAATCTAACTTTTTTTGTTTAACAAAAAGAGTTCCTCTATCTTAGTAACTTTAAGAAAAAGGGATTATTGCAATAAAATCACATAAAAAACGCACATTTACAATAAAAATGTTATTTTTTTTTCATAAACTTTTCCAGAACTTAGTTACTTTTATTATTAGACAGAAACATTTATTAATTCTGTTTTGTTTAAACCATAATTTTAAATAATTCAGTTTTTGTTTGTTCGTCCAATTTCCACTAGTTTACGGCAGTGTGATGAAGAAGTCTCAAAGATGGTGGAATATCAAATAACAACACTTTAAACATTGGATGAGTTACAGTCATGGGAGGATTATAAAAGTTTTTCAAGTTATATAAAATCCTCATATTCTCTTGGTTCAAGTATTATGCTGTGCAGAGGAGGGAGGGGGTGCAGAGGCGCGATGATTCCCGCAAAAATGACCTCCGAGCCTCCAGATTTGCAGATGGACCTCAAGGCCCTGCGCAACTGTCTCCTAGCCTCAGTGACGTCACCAAGCCTCCTGCCATTCTGTCTCCATGCTCCGCATTTTGGTCTCCACTTGTTTTTATTTTTTGTTGAACCCTATTCCTGCTGGGGGGTGGGTCAATTTGACCCCCCCCTGTATTTTTTTTTTACATAACTCAAAAAGTATTGGTCTGAGGCTGTTGAAATTTTCTGACTTTTCCTACATTCCCAAAGCCCTACCTTTAGGCCTAACTAACTGCCAGAGCCCTCAGGCACATTGCCTGAATGACTGCCTTTTCCTGTAACAAACTAAATCTTTGTTTCGACCCACTTCCACTTGTCAGGTTTTGATAAAATTTAGCTTTTTGGAAAGCCTTTGACATAAGGAAACGAATTGCACAAGTTTTGCAAGAAAAAAATTGCAATTTTTTTGCAAACAACCTGTCAAAGGAAATTTACACATTTTTAGTTTTTCTTGATAAAAAATCAGGTTTTTTAAAATTTTTGCATATTTGAAATGGCATGGTCAAGGGCTTTTCAAAAATGTATAATTTTTCATTTTTTGGACAAATTTTTTTTTGCAAACATTTTTACTATATAACTGGATTTTGCGAAAAAAAAATTCAATTTATGCAAATTTGCAAATTTGTATGCAGATTCAAAAAGTAGAGCACAAGAGCTTTCCAATGATGTATCATTTGTCATATTTGGACATCAAACATGGGATTTAGCATATCCTGGTTTTCAAGTACCCCAGCAGAGATAGGGTTAATTTTATTGGCTTAACCAAAACAATATCAAAATTGTCTCTACATAGTAGACTCCGTCATAGTTTAAAGATTCGTCTAATCAACAAATTTGACATATTAATTAATTCAATTGATCTGAAGTTGTTTTTCTGTAAAAGTTTACATTAAGATGGAATGAGTAAAAGACACCTTTATAGACAATTTATCTAATATCTTTGAAGACATCATAATTTAAAGATTATATTAACTCTATCAATTTTTAGCATTACATTTTATCATAAATATGCAAATTAACAAGGATCTGTCCTATGTACACAAGTTTTTGCGCGCCCCACCCCCCCAAGAGGGGAGTCCAGAATTCCTCAACGAGTAATCACCGCCACCCAAATGTGTTTTGCGGCAAGCCCGCTCCTCAATTGGTAATCTCCACCATCTCAATTGGTAATCAGCCAAAATAAGCATAAAATTAAATCGGTTATTTCTTAGAAATAAGACCATATTGACAGCTCTGTTAATGGCCCTATGGTGTACAATATTGTTAAAGATTTCTTTATTGCTTCTAAGTTTCGAAAATAAATCTATAAATAAACGCTAGAAATATATTACGTTTTTTAGTTTCAAGTTTCTCTTTAACCCATTAGTGACGAGACAAATAATTCTTACTGATCTTGCTGAAATTCACAGGGTTAACTCGTTATACTGTCCATAGAGTAGATCTAAAGTTTCAATTTTTTCCAATGAAGGGTGTGGAGATACAAAACCTGGCCAATTTTGTCCGTCTTGGCATTGGTCAAAATTGACCGCCCGGTCAATTTTGACCGTCTGCAGCAGGAAACGGTCAATTTTGTCCGGCTTGGAATCGGACAAAATTGACCGGGTGGTCAATTTTGACTGTCTGCAGCAGGACTAAATTGACCAGGTCCTGTATCTCTACTACCATTCATTGATAAAAATTGAAATTTGAGGGGGGTGTGTTTATAATCTACACATAGGGTAGTGTTTCTATACTATACAGGCTGTTTGTGTATATTTGTGTGTGTAAATATACTATAATGGGGGGAGGTTTATACTGAAAAATGTGAGCTTAAAAACCGGCATTTCGATCAGGCCGTCAAAATTGACCTGGTCCGAGATGGTCAATTTTGACCGGGCAGAAAAAAGGCATAAAAAGAGGAGTAAACATAAACTTTTTACACTGAATGTAACATAAGCATATAACTAACATCAAATGCACACTTTTCATAGAAATAAAAAATTTTTGAGAACAATTTTTCTGGCAGTTCCTGAATTTGAATCTCCCGCCATTGTTGCTAGCTGCTCTGGCACCCTATCAACTTGTACCATGCCTGCAATCTGTAGGCGATACAGGACGAGATTTGGTTTCAAAATGAAGGCACTAAAAATTAATAGCCTTACCCGGTCAAAATTGACCGTCTCGCCACTAATGGGGTTAAGAATGTTTGCGGAATTTTCCTCTGAATGTAATTGTTTTAAACTCCTTATATAGAGAGGAAACTATAACCCATTAGTGGTGGACTTAATACTTCATTTTCAGTACGGGGTGGGATGAGACTAATTTTTCAAAATTTGATGTTCTTTCTATGCATATAATTAGTTTCATTGTAGATGTTGAACTCGAGTAGGAGAATACAAAAATCTAAACACTGTAAAGGTTTTTTGAAAATATCTTTTAAATGGAGATGGATATTACTTTGCGTGGGATGAGATAATTTTTAGTAAACAGGCAGCCCCACCTCTTAGAATGGGCAAATTGGATCTAAGATTCGGCTTAATTGAACTGTGCTTTGATTCTCAGTTTTTGTTGACCAAATAAATCTGAAAACAATTTGAAAATTTAGTTTAAGTCAATGCAGATGCCATAAATCCCTGATAGATGTCAACAATTGTGTTAAAAGTGCATTAAATTAAATCTTGGAAAACAAAATTTTAAAATGATTACCAATTGAGGTGGTGGAGATTACCAATTGAGGAGCGCGCTTGCCGCAAAACACATTTGGGTGGCGGTGATTACTCCTTGAGGAACTCTAGACTCCCCCCCCCCTCTGTGTATCAATTTTTTTTATATGACTAATTCCTCTAACTTTCAATATATATTTATATTTATAAGTAAAATCTTATTAAAACGATAGGATAGGACACAAAGCTGCCTTATCCTGTTAGTATAGCATGTAATAGATATTTAGATTATTTTAATTCTTTGTTTCAATTTAAAAAAAAATAGTTCTTCAATATTTTCTAAAGCATACGATAAAATCACAAATACAAGGATTTCACTAAAACTACTATGTCTTGCCGCTGATATTGCTTAATTTATTCATAAAACCCCTGTAAAATACTATAAAATTTGTCTAACTTTATACAAAACTGCAATAGTTCTTCACATTTAAGGAATTTGTGACATTTAGAAAAACAAAAATCAAGCCTTTAATCTCAAATAAAATGCACTTTTAGATTTAAATTGTCAATGTATCATTCTGAACTATTTCATTATGTTGAGAATTTTTGAAAAAAAGGTTTTTGGTGGATGTAAAAGCCAAATTTTTTTTTATTGGAGCCAAAATGCAGGGTGTGGAGACAGAACGGTGGGAGGCTTGGTGATGTCACCGAGGCTGGAAGACAGTTTCGCGGGGTCTGGAGGTCATTCTGCAAATCTGGAGGCTCAGATGTCATTTTTGCGGGGATTATGGCTCCTCTGCACCCCCTCCTTCTGCAGAGTCTTCAATGTAGATGGAATGCTCAGCAATGTACAGGCTAGAGGAACAGAGTAATTAATTGATCTCAACCCCTTGTTTTAAGGGAGTTTATGATGATCGAAGAGTTTATAATGATTAGTTAGGTGATTGAGTATTTTGAACTTATCATGTCATGCATTGTAGACGTCCTGATGTTTGGCCTGACACCCTCCATTACTGCCCTCATCGATAGGATTAAATTAGACTTGGGCTGACTTCGGAACAAAAGGAAACCTGCAGTTGAAGCTATGAGGATGCTGCAAGATTGAAAAATGAGTGACGGTTAATCCTTTTTTTTAACAACTCCCTCCCCACCCCTCGATTTTAATAGATATTGTCATAACCCTATATCTGTAAACCTGAACTACGTTGTACATTATAAATAAGCTAACTACGCAACCTATTAGCTTCCCACTATGAAAATAAGTGCAAAATCTTTATCATGATTGAGCTTAATTATGTCTATAAATAACTATGTAACACTTGTCATTAGGTTGAATAACTTAAATTGTATCATGGAACCCAAATATACACCAGTTGGAAAGTATTCTTGATTGGATTGCAGGGAGAGAGTAATTTAATTGAAAATTGTAAAATAGATACCTAAAAATACAGATAGAATTGTATCCGGATTAATATTGTATATTATTGTTGAACCTTGAGTTTAAGATTGAGAGTAATTTGGTTCCTCGTTTAGAGACAACAAGAGAGGAACCTTGAGTTTAAGATCCAGTTGTTTCTTGTAAAACAGATAACTGAGAATATGTAAGGTTATACCTGAATTGGTCTGAATCTAAAGATATTTAGGGGTGTAGGGCATTTAGTACATATGTTTGTTAAAGATAGATACTTACCCTTGTAACCCAAACAGCATGAGTTGCTATAATCTGGGGAGAAGGAGAAGTATACTCATTGCTAAAGCAGGTTTTATGTTAAGTTACAAATACAAATATTGACATAAAATATTTGTTATTTCCAGGAATCAGTGCTTTTAAATAATCTTTGCTTTTTTGGTTCTTTTTAAAGAACATTTTGGTTTTACTGTGTTTTGCCATCAGCCTAAAATTGCCTAATAGTGAGAAAGATAAAATTCTACAATATTAACAAACAATTTTAAATGAACTTTATTTCAAACTAGGCAACAGAATTGAAAAAGCATTTAAACCACCAAACAGTTTAAATGAGAGCTGGCTTAAATCCTGAATCAATAAGAACAATTTTAGGTTGAACCAACCATGTTGTCACATCAACAAATTTAACATATTTATTTTTTAAGATTTCATTTCAACTTAAATCAACAAAAAATTAGATGAAATATTTCAGTTTTTTACACTTCAGTGGTCAGTGTCATGGATCAACTATAGGATGAATTGTCGGCGCGGTCCACCCTGTCTAATTAGCCTGGCTCAGATTTACTAATCATACAGCTGTATATACGTGTATTAATTAAGATAATCAATCAATCTTCCTGTAGGAATTAGGGTTATCATAGATGATGCACACACTATTTCTGCAAAATCAACTGTTCACAGTGGGTTTATTTATAGTTACTTAGACCAAATATTGCGTTGTGTTTTTTCTTAAAATTTATGTATAACAGTGGTTTTATTAAAATAATTTACGAAAACAATAATTTTTACTAATCATTAGGGCTCACATTAAGACATATTTGACACTATATTTAGTATCAAAATCAATCATTAATATTTTCTTTAATGAGATAATCCTAGATGATATAAACATTGATTTTGATAAATATGATTGTGATATTGTAGAATATATCAGCAGTTTTGTTGTTAAAAGTGTTGGCATTCACCTATCTTGTAATATTTGTTTTAAATTTGCTCTAAAGCATGCCAGCGACAATCACACTAAAAACAATTGGATAAATTTCAAAGAAAAATACTGCCTAAACCATTCTTAAAAAAGAAATTGTGGACATTTGTAAATAGGCAGAGCTTAAAATCTCCCTAAATTTTGAAAATTGCATGAAAAAATTTTTTTTCTTCAGAAAATCACTCAAAAAGTTGTCAATCAATTTACATTCAGATGTCCAAATTTTTTTGATCAAATGTATCTTGTCCCTGGGCATGACCCAGAACGCCGTTATAATCTTCTAGTAAAACTTGTAAAAAAATATCTTGCCATAAGAGTTCATAAATTTATCAAAAATCCCAATGTAGAAACAAAAAATAAAGTCAGGAAGAATCTTACAAAGCTTGTTCATTTTTTTTAATGAATAAATGGTATTTAATAATATGCTTGTATTCTTTACTTAAAGACAATTTTTAGTTTTGTTTTCAAAATTTTTCTTTAGATTTTTTGGTGTAAAGATACTGGATATCCAAACAAACATGGGAATTATACGTAAATGATAAACAGACAAAATAAAGAAAATTAGTCTTGGGCTTTCCAAAATGTGGTAATTTTGTATGCAATTTTCACATATTTCCACTTATTTCAATTTTCAATTTGTATAAATAAAGATATAGGAAACTTTATATTTTTGAAGATACATAAGAGATAAATTATTTTGAATTCTTAGCTTTTAAAAGTAAAAATAACCTCATATTGGTCATTGTAAATCAAATGAAGATTCCTAATTCAATATTTGTTGGGACACTCTAGTAACCGAGTACATATACTAGAGTTGAGTTAATAAAGGTTTTTAATTATAATTTTACAAAATCTAAAATATTCTTTTTATTCTTATTCTGGTTGTTTAGCTTTATGATAGTAGCTAGGGGCGCTGCACAAACTTAGTTTCTAAGTTGCAAAAAAGATTGAGATAGCACCATACTGTATGCCCACTGTGCATCTTGTACAAAAAGTTTCTGGCATTGAGAATTTTCAAACGACGCGTACCGGCTTGTCAGACGCCAGTACGCAACAACCCTGCTTCCTATCTAGTTGTTCCATGGGTCAGTGTATATATCAATACATTGAAGATTTTTGAATATCTGTAAGCCTGAGCTACATTGTACATAAATAATTATCTACAATGCAAATTAATCCGCAAAACTTGTATTGCCATTGACCAAACCTAGATATGTCTGTGAATATCTATGTCAACCCAGTTTTGTGATTACCTTAACTATGATTGTAAAAAACATCATAAAAACTTGTAATTACATTGATTAACTTAACATAATCATTTTCTGGAAGGATAAAGGGGGGAAGCCTCTGGTGTAGTAAATGCAATACTCTAAAAAAATGTTCTCTCTATTTGTATCAGTCCAGGTACAACCAGTCTGCTATCCCAGTCAACCAGGACACAACCCACCTGGCTCTAAATGTCACAAGTCCAGCTTATCAATCTAGCTATCAAACAAGCTATTAATTCAGCTCTGAATGTCACACAGGGACACAAGGGTAGCTATCAAGCAAACTATTAATTTGGCTCTAAGTGCCAAACAGGGACACAAACATAGCTCTCAACAAGCTATTACTTTGGCTCAAAATGCAAACCTTCTTTTTTGGATACCTCCTTGCAATGCATAGAGATCACTTCATCACCATGGATACCATTGCAGACAAGATTGTTTACCAGGTTGTATTCTCTAACCTTCTCAGAAACCTGTCTATATTGCTGGACATTTTCAACCTTGCACTGGTGATCAGTCCTTCTTGGGGTTCTCATAATATTGGTTCCTTAACACCTGACACAGTTTGCTGTTCATGGTCTTGAACTGGTTCTATTGTAACATGCCGTAGTCCTGTGCATGTGTCTTAAAATACTTCTTCTTGTATCGCCTCCTATAATCCTTCTCATCTTTGATAGTATGTTTAAGTTATAGTTGGTGCTACACTGCTGTCTGTATCTAGTCTAGCACTCCTTTCCGTGCTCAGTTTGAGACTTCTGCTTAGGAACATTTTGGAACTTTTGTTCTGGAATGAGGGAGGTTTAGAGCACTTGAACAGTGTTGCACTCATGTATATCCTGATTATGACACTCCTGTTCTTTCTTCCTGTACATCATCTTTCTGTACCTCTTCTTACTATACAACTTGACACAAGCATAGTTATCAACAAGCTACTACTTTGGCTCTAAATGCCACAGGGACACAAGCATTAGAGTTCTATCAAGCCCTTCATCAATCTCAACCCTAAATGAGGTATGATCTCAACCCAAATAATTTAGAGGATACAATCACTCAACACTGTAATAAAAGGTTATTTAACCCATTAGTGACGAGATGGTCAATTTTGACCAGGTTAGGTTTTTAATTTTTAGCGCCTTCATTTTTAAACCAAATTTTCTCCTGTTTTATTCCCGGCCTTCCTACAGATATGCTGAGTACCGCCTATAGGTTAGTAGGGTGCTAGAGCAGCTAGCAACAATGGCGAGATTCAAATTCTGGAACCTCCGGATCCAATAGATATAAATCAGTGAAAAATTGTTTTCAAAACTTTCTATTTTATGTCAGTTATATGCTAAAGTTACGTCCAGTGCAAAAAATTTATATTTACTGCTCTTTTTTTGCCTTTTTTTCTGCCCGTCAAAATTGACCGTCTCGGACCAGGTCAATTTTGACCCCCTGGTTTTATGCACACACTGTACAGTAAACAGCCCTTCTGTCTCTACTGAAGTTTCAGTCGTGTCCAGATCCTCAATTTTGACTGGTGCCGAGACGGACAAAATTGACGGGGTCCTGTATCTCCACAACCCTTTATTGAAAAAAATTGAAGCTTGAGGACTACTCTATGGACAGTATAGCAAGTTAACCCTGTAAATTTCAGCAAAATCGGAAAGGTTTTTTTGTCTCGTCACAAATGGGTTAATTAGTTTTTATGTTACAAGTTGATGGATGTAATAACAATTCCTACTTTGTTATCTCTATCACTTGATTAAGGCAATTATGTTAAGTATTACAGCACAGTTGAAAAAGGCACATTAAAGATGTGCATATTCATAGGAATAGCGAGTATAGATAATGTAGTTAAGCTATCTCCACACATATTTACAAGTTGAATGTATGTATTGAAAGGGTTTAAGATGCTACATATTTGATTGAAACACAGTTCAAATTAATAATGATTTTTGTATGTAGAAGTTTACAAACATAGATAATTAATTATGTACAATATGTTCTATAAGTTTATTACATCTGGAACCTCTCAGGGTGGTTCGTGGTGACATAGAGTTATGGAACCAAGAAGTTAAAGAATTCAGTAGGGAATCCTTTCTCCCCTTCAATTTTATACTGTTTCCTAGTACACAGAATTTTTTAAAGGTTCTCAGGTGAAGTTGAAGCTTTGCACCTCAGAATGTGACATCATTGACAGGAGTCCATTTTTCATTACTGGCAGAGTATAAACCGGTATCATTGTGCATTGGTCACAGCTATTTACTTGTTACGTTTCCATTTTTCTTATTTTGGTGAGAGATGAGAAAGAACTATGAGAAATCCAAACTTTTAGCAGTGCTTCGATCCTCTGTTTGAAAATAGGGTGTGTCATGCTAATTCCACACAGGACCTTCTGCACTAAAGAGTGGAGCATGCACTGTAGAGAAAACCTAACTGTCCTGGTGGCAGCTTGCAACTGACAAGGGTATATCGGATTGCTGACTTTTATTAAGAACAAACATAATAAATTAATTTACATAATATAATATTATTTAGACAAGATTGCATATTCAAATACTCACATTTCAGGATCTGTTGCAAGATTACCAATAGCAAGATCAACCTCATCATATCTAACCTTTAAAAGAGTTTTTGGAATATTTGTAAATTTTTTGATTTACAAATTACTCACCATTCCTGTAATTCCCAGCCAATCCCCAGTGTCAGGATCTTTTCCTCCAATCGAACCATTTGCATTTTTAAATTTGGTTTGAAGTCTGTACTTATCTATATTAAAATAAATTTAAACACATTCTGTCTTAATTTTGAAATTTTAATGCTACCTGTAAAAGTTCTCAGTAGAAGTCCTTCAAATGTATGACTGTCTGAGTTGTTATCAATTAGAGAAAAAATACCAGGGAATTCATTGAAACCAACCCTGTAAAATATTTGATCATTTAAATGTTCAAACATTTCAGGCCAAAAAAATGTTCTTTCAAAACAGAGAATTTTTTCTTATGCTAACTATATGGTTTCTGTGGTTACCATTCAGAAAAAATCTTATTCGATAAATAATCCAGATTATTTCTTTGCTCTTTAAATTAGATTAACATTCAGAAATAATGTTTATAAGATTATTTTCAAGAAAATCAACAAAGAAAATATAATTACAAAAATCTGATAAAACTATGTTAAAACTTGAGACCTGATTAGCTTATCATAAAAAGAGTCTGGAATCTGACTAAAATCTTGGCTTCTGCTTAAAACTACATCAGAATAATATGTTGACCAAACACCAGTAAACTTCTGCTTGTGAAGATCCCTGTAATTTAGTTCTGATGAGTTACTAATTTTGATCTTCATTTCATCCTTTAAAAGAGGGGGGGGGGTTTGAATCCCAACCCCTGACTAGAAACAGGTCTAAGAGAATAGGTATAGGTTTGAAATGCATGTTCATAGCCCAATTTTTCATTGAAAAAAAAATTAGACTGATAACTTATGTAGTTTGGGTGCTAGGGAGGGTTGAAAAAATGCTCAAAAAAGGATTAGAAAAATGAAGAAAAAAAATTTTGGTTTAAACAAAAATTAAACTGTGACACATGATTCTACATCCATTTTTCAAGGGCAGAACAGACTTTTTAACACCTTAAAAGTTGTAACCGACCCTACTCGTTAAATTTTTTTTTATACAATTTAAACGAATAAGTTTTTCCTAAAATATTCCCCCCCCCTCTTTTAACTTTAATAATTTATTTTAATTATTTTTTACATAGTTTTAAAATATTTATAAGATAAAATATGGAAATATTTTGAGATTTCTATATTTCTTTTTCTTCTTGTTTATACATCTTTCAATCATATTCCTCCAATTTCTTGCTTTTTTTCTAAACCTTGTAACTAATTGAACTAGCTGAGCTTGCTTTCTTTTTTCTGAACTCTATATTCTTGAGTTGCATCTTGTTGTGATCTGACCAGTCAAAGATAAATCTTACTTTGTCCTTCAGACGTAAATAAGTCCATGGTCAAATAAGTAACAAGTTGAGATTATATTGAATAGAACATGAGTAAATACAAGTAATGTTAACATTGTAAACTCAGCAACCCACTGATGAGATCATCAAGATAATTCCTTGTTTGGAAGAGGAGAGAAAAACTGTCAGCCAATGTATCCAGAACTCCCTCTACATGCCAGAGTAGATCAGCTCGGAGGCTACCCCTCTGTCCAATGGTGTTGCTCAGGATTTTCTGATCTAGGAGCATTATATCTGTGAGATCACACACAGAGTCTATACTCCGAAGGGGATTAGATGGAGGTTCATAGTCTGGGTGGTAGGAGTACTTGTCCTCAGAGCTGAGGTTGGTCTCCTCTGTCTCTACTGAAGTTTCAGTCGTGTCCAGATCCGGACACGGGGATTCACATCCCCCATACTCCCGGATGAGCTGGATGGATGGCAATGGGGCGATTGATGGAGTTGTAGATTGGGTAGAAGATAGCAGCATCAGGGTTCATCAGGTAGTACGCTACAAGGAACCTCTTGAGGTGTTAACCTTCTGAAGTTCTCTGTAGTACTGTCCAGGGAGAGGGGTCAGAGAAGGGCGGGTATCCAGTCTCTGGTAGCATCATCAGGCCAGGGGGGAGTGGCCACCTCTCAATTTAAACATGTATTAAGGGACAGTTCCCAGATTATATCAATCCCATAGATATGGAATAAATCTTGTTTATCTCAGAATATTTTACTTTTTAATGAAAAAATATTTAGAAGAGAGGAAGGGGGGAGGTCTCCTTCACTTCCCTAGCATTCGATGTTGGAAAATATGACAGTGTATAGCTTGACTTTAGACATTCCCGTCTATTTTTTTTCCTTTCTCTGTTCGATTTTCTTATTTTTTCTTGTTTATTGATTCTGGGCTTTAAGGCCTCTGCAAATAGTTCTTGTGACATTGAATTGTGGAGCAGGTAGAAGAGAGATTAGGAGGTTTTTAGGAAAAAGGGTATAGGGGATTGCTCCCTGTGTTCCTTCTATTATACTCTTTTCGAATTAAGCGCCACTAAGGAAACCCATTACTGCACACCTTGGGCAAAATGGAGAGTTGTAAGCCCTAAAGCCCCATTGAGAGAAATCTTCCACAGCAGTCCAGTCCTCATAGCTGGTCAAAAAAAGGGTATCTTTGTGCATTGCTTGTATAACCATCAAGGATTAGACTCCTTCTTTCGGTTACACCAGGCTAAACTTAAAGTCTTAATTTATTCTATGTACAGTCCTTGCTTCCCCAGTAGGTTATGAGATTTTGCATCCTTCCTAGTACCCAACCTATTAAAGTTATATTCTTTTACAATGAGCTGGCCTTGAGAAATATAGCTATGAACAAATATTTCATATCTATTCTCTAAGGCCTTTTTCTAGGGGGGGCGTGGGACGCCCAGGTTATACATAGATTTAGACCCCCAGCCTGTATAGGATTGAGAAGCTTACCAATATGTAAATGATGATAAACATTTTGTGAGAATTACCAAGTGTCGTAAATCTGCTTAAAATTAGAAAGATAAAAATTAGATTGACTTCATTTCTATATTTATTTATATAAATCTAGTTAATTTCTATTCCTAGGTGGTTTAGATGGCTAGATTCATCCTCTTGATTAATAATAACAAGGGAAGGAGAATAACCAAGCTTCAAGAATGCATCTATTTCAGTTATCTAAATAAACAGGCAAAACATTTTAAACCACTTAAAAAAATTCTAAAAAATCTAATTTTTTTGTATTTAAATAAGTTTAAACTTTTAAGTTCAACAAACAAAATACCTCCTTTGAGATAATAATCAAACAGTTTGTTGAAATTAATGAAACTGTAAAATTTTTAATTTCATTTCCATTATTCATGATCAAACATTGATTTCCTGAATCAACATGAGAGCAAAACCTAAAATTATTTTATTAATGATTAAACATTTAGAAATAACTCTTTAATCTGTTTATCTAACTGACCCTAGATATACATCAAGACATGTAGCTGATCCTTGTACTTTCCTATTTTTACATTTTAACTTTAAGCAACCTCTGAGTAATTAATTGAATACAAAATTGTCCCCGTTGAAACCATATTTAACTCATGAATTTTGAGTAAATAATTGTTTATGTGCAAAGTAATTTGATGTTAAATTGACATGGTCAAGTCCAAGTTGAATATCTCTAAAAAAGAAGCCAAGTTTTACTTCCTGAAGATTGCATTACTAATCTATTAGTATATTGTGTCTACTTTCAGAAAAAAAATTGGAATTTATAATAGGCTCCTTACAATACATGCTAGAACAAGTCTAAAAATGTTACTTTCTGTTTGCATTCTGCTTCTAGGTTACAATTAGAAATAGTTTTAAAAAATGATATTTTCAAAACTGTACATTCTTTATTAAATTAATTTATATATATATGGAAGGCATTAACCAGCATGAAAGTTTAGATATATTTTAAACTATTTTGATTCAATGATAAAAAAGTTGTAAATGTAATATTCCTGATAAACCACTTGATAGTATTCCTAGTATTCTGATCTTCTTCTTTAGTACAATCAGCTAATACAGGTCCAAGATTCAGTAATAATGCTCCAAGGAGTATCAAATGATACTTCTTCATAGCAAATCTGAATTTTTTTTTCATAATATTTCCAGATTTTTCTCTTGTACTAAACTAAAACGAATAAACAGTTTAATGTAATTGGATTTTTAGAAAAACTAAAAAAAGTTAGTTCAACAGGTTTTACACACATCGTAGTAGAATTAAGAATAAAAATATTTATTTAATATATGTGCAGTAGGCTTTAATATCTGAGTTTGCTAAGAATGGTTAGATTTTATGCTTACATTGCTTATATAACCTTGTTTATTGCAACCTTTAATATATTTTAAGTAAAAATCTCATTATGTTTCTAATATTCTTAATTATAAATATGATAAGATTGTTTGATCTGTCATTCTGTTCATCACATGATTTGACTGTTTTAGTCCTTTTTTATTTATATGTTATGTTAAATATTATTTATTTGATGTTTGCTTATTCAAATGTCAATGTATTCAAGCTTCATTATTACTTTCGTTCATTTCTGGGTGGGGGGGAGTCCTAGGAGGGGGGATAATTAATTAGGGGGTTTGATGGGGGAGGCTCCTAGAGGGGGGCAGGGAGGATTGTCTGAGGAGCAATAAAAAATTACTCAGTTGCTGTAGACCATAAATCATCTTGAGATGTTGTCTTGAAAACAAAAATCCCCCGTCCCAGAGCTGAAACCAAACCCAACCTCCACCGTCAATAGACGATAAAATCCGTGAAAAGTGAAAACATGTTTAAATATGGTAATTCTTAAAAGTAGTTATTATCACTGTGACTAATCATTTTTAGAACAAACCAGGTGTTTTTCAGAAGTCACAAAACGTTTTAATCTCCTGATCCATCAACCCCTCAATTTCAGTTACCTACCCAATACTAGTAAGTTTTGTTTATCAAATAATATATTATAATGATTTATTCAGCTTCGCGTGCAGACAGATACTGTGCTGCTGATTCAGTTCCTGGTCAACTTCAAGTTTGAGTTCTTGTTCCCGTTATCCTGCTCCATCATTACATACCAAAGATTCCACCTGCGGTCACACCCGGCCGTCTAATTATAATTGAAATGAGCACATTTGAAATATCAATTTCAGAGTTTATTTAGGAGTTCACTTTCTTCAATATGGTTGAAGGGGGGTGGAGAAATTTTCATTTCTTTCTTGGTATGTCCATGCTTATTGGAACAAAATCCAACTTGTATACATGGGTTGCACCCCTTAATAAAGCTTATTATGTATACCGCAACGTTATCTCTAAAGATTGTTAATTTACAATTGTGCAAAAACAACTGTTGACGACAGCAAAGCAGGATTATGGTTTGAAATTTGTTTGGCAAAAGGAAGTGGGTTTCCAAAACTACAGACAATTGCTCTGTTGGGATATAAACTCTTAAATAAAACTTGTTGGTTCCTGAAGATAGGAATCAGCTAATATAATTAGGCCATGACAATAAAATAAGAGTATAAAATCAAATTAAGCTTTACAAGAAGTTTTTTTTAACTTTGTCTTCTATTCTTCCCAGCTTCAAAATTTTCAAATATTTTTTTTTCTGATTCTTTTCATAAAAATTGTTTTAAGGGGGGGAGATTTTAATGGAGTTCAAAGTACGTATTTTTAACAAAGAATGTTAGATCATGGTTGGAATCAATTAGCTCTGTATATGAGAACTCTGTTGGGTGTTTACATAAACTAAAACTCCTTTTTCGTAAAAATCACAAACAAATGTAATAGATTCTTTAAGAATTGAGATTTCTGCTTTAATGAACAGTTAAAATGTACAGGGTGTCTCAATAAACATGGGAATTCAGTGACAAATTCGATATCGTCTTTTTAAATAATTCTTTGATTTAGTTTAGTGATACCTACTGAGAAAGCTGTAATCTGTAAGAGTTTCGTCTGCTATGTTTACATTTTGTTTGTTTATGGTTTGACTGCATATGGTTGTAAAATAAAAAAATAAAATAAAAAAATTGCAGTATACAAACAGAGTAAACTTGTCCGTCTTTACTGTTCATCTTGCAGAGACATTATAGCATAGAGAATAAGATATATATTAGAGGGTAATTTAGAGAATCTATCGGTTTGAATTTTTTCAGTCCCTTTCAGCCTGAAAGGGAGTTCAAAGTACATTAATACAGTATGTTCCCTAGATAATCCATTTCAATTTCGATTTAAAGCTGTTAAAATACTTTATAAAATGAATTAGGTGACTAAAAACATCATTTGATTTATCATCGTTAGTAAAGTGAAAGGCATATAGTCTTTGTGAAATGATCATTGGTCAATTATGAAACCAGCCTATTTCATAATTTGGTTTTATTTTAATATTAATTTTAGATTTTCTATAAAATGATATTCCAGGGCCCAAAAGGTTATATAGCACAAATATGTGAAGTTCACCTGCAGTATGGAAACAGTACAACAAAATGGCCGTTTTACACTTTTTTCTAGTAAATTTCCCTCTAATATATATTCTATTCTCTTTGGATTATAGACACATCTTTACAGTGTTTTACCCTTTTCATAAAATAAACTCTAGCAGAGATAGTAATATTATGACTTTTGAAATTAGGTATTACAATGCTAATTCATAACAAAGACTATATCGAATTTGTCACTGAATTCCCATGTATTTTGGGACACCCTGTATTTATATGTTTGTATTTTTTGTGAACATCCTGTGAACACTGTGTTTTTTTACATATAGGCTCAACGTTAAGACTACGCCTTAAAATCTAACGTTGAAATCTTGATCAGTTGAAGCCGTCCCTTGCCCAGCTCCAGAGTTCACAAATCAACTCTGTACCAACAAAAAGGGCATTTTATTGATACTCTAAAATCAGATATTCAAATCCTGGATTTCATTTTAATGAGTTTCTAGCTGCTCTCCAACAGCAGCAGCCTTCAACAGTTCAGCTCCAGACAGCTCTAAAGATTCATCTACACCAGCTTCAAGCAGCTCCCTACAGAAGCAGCCTTCTACAGTTCTGCTCCAGACAGCTCTAAAGGTTCATCTACACCTGCAGCTTCAAGCAACTCCCTAAAGAAGCAGCCTTCTACAGTTTTGCTCCAGACAGCTCCGTGTTCTAAAGATTCATCAATACCAGCAGTTGAGAAGCTCCCTAAATCCCCCTACAGCAACTAACTCCACAGTCATAACGCTCCCATATATTCCGTAACAAGTTTTTATCAATAAACATGTCATGTCATGTTGATTTTTATACTGTGGGAAATAGAAAAATTCTGACATGGATAATATATCAACCTTTAAAGGGACTGTAAGCATGATTTCAAGTAACCCTCCATGCAAAATCTAGGGTTCTCCAATGAATTTTGTTCGGTCTCCAATGAAAATCTGAGGGTCTGATACAAATGATAATCTGAAGGTCACCATCAAAAATCTGGGGTCTCCAATGAAAATCTGGGAATTTCCAATCAAATCAAACTAAATCAAATCATATAATTTCTGCAGTTATTAACAATAATTTATTGCATTAATAAATATGTAAAACTACTGCAGCATGATAGCTAAAATGGCTTAGCGCTGGTTTTTCAAAGTTCTCCCATGCGAGGGGGGGATTGCAGAAGTCCTCAATGAATAATTAACGCTGCCCAAACATGTTTTCAAGGTTGAGCGCTCCTCAATTTATAATCTCCACCACCTCCATATACCAGACAATAGTCTGGTTGGTGGGAAGGTTCCTAAATACAAGACTAGCACAACTAGTACAACTAAAGATACTATTATTATTGTATATTTTATTCCAATTGATAAAAAACATTGCCAAATATAAAGTGTATGTAGATGGTATGCGGGCCTGAAGTATATTCTCCAACTCCTTCTTTAAGTAAAATTCAGATAATCTTCCTGGTTTAATCTCGGTTCAAGCTTCATTAACCATTATTGAACTTGGTTCATACAGTAGTCAGACAAAAAAATCTAAACATCAAATCGTTTATTTCTTAGAAATACGAGCAAATATTGACCTCTGGTCATGGCTCTATAGTGTACATTATTGTTAAAGCTTTCTTTATTGCTCCTCAGTTTTAAAAATACATCTATTAATTGTTACGTAGCTTGCTGCATATAAATGAACAAAGACCAGACCTTCCCACATTTTACTTTCAAACAAAATCCTGGGGCTAAGATATACCTTTTTTCAGACAAAGATTTCTCTGTTCAATAAAAAAGCAAATAATTCTGGATTGAAAATACATAAACATAAATTTTAACATTTGTTAAAAATACTGAAAGGTATTAAAAGTGTACAAATTATATTTTCATTTATAACATATTTTTAACATTTTACTAAGTATTTTTTATGAAAACGAACCCCTGGAGACTAGAGTTGGCCTGGACAGAAAAAGGCAACTTCAAGCCAAAAATCTTCAAATCTTCAGCAGTTGGATACGAGACTGCAAGAAAAGAAGTATTCCAAACTCTGGTCGCCAAAAGCCCCTGTATAGAACTGTTAAAATAAAACTTTAAGAAATATAAACTTGACTTAAAAATCTAAAGATAT